AGATCTAGGCGCGTGAGGGCAACTCCCCGCCCTGATCCGCCTCCCCGGGGAGGGGAGCCCCCCTGCTCGGACCCCAGTGAGGGGGCTCCCCCTGGACCCCGGGCTGGGGGAACCCGCCCCCCCCACCACGCATGTCCAGGTCCGAGCCAGGCAGAAACAGCCCGTCCCTTGTCCTACCGTGCGTCTCCACCCGCAAACCGTCAGGGAGGCACCGTGCTAAGCCGCCATCGCCTCCCCGCTCTCCCGTCTCCTCAGGCCGGCTCGGTGCTCAACCCCACCCCGAGGCTCAGGGACGCCGAGAGGGCCCGAGTTACGCAGACCGCGTAGGGGGAGCTATTGCCGAACGGTGAATGCGGCGGCTGCCTGACGTAGCCAGCGCGGAGGAGCGACGCGGCTACGCAAAGTGCGTAACGGGAGAGGGGCGCTCCGGCTGGACTCTGAGCTCCAGCTCGGCCGTGTGGCTGGGCCCTTGGCAGGAGGTGGCTTGCTCCAGGCAGGGCCGGGCCCATTAAACACCATCGTAGTAGCATGAGATCACAACACAACTCTCCATAGCCTAGAACAGGGGGCTCCTAGCCTGACCCTCAGTTTCAGGTACATGTGGAGCCAGAAACCTCAGTGCCCCCCCCCCAGCACTAACTCAGATGGGCCAGGATCCTCCCAGCCAGCCTGGGCTGGTCTCTGAAAGCAGGCCAGACCTGGCTTTTGCTGAGGACATTTCACACAGCTTCAGGTGTCACCTGCCCTACGGGTCCTCTGTAGACTTGAGTTTCAAAGGCTGATCCTGCAAACACATTAGAAGGATCTCAAATCACTTTCAGGAGTTATGGAGCAGAACCACTGACACAGTCCCCCAGAGAAAGGAACTGGCCTGCAACTTTGCCTTTTGGCTCCCCTTACTAGAGCCATTGCACCAGGCCTGTGGGAAATGCAAGGGTGGGGGCAGCGGCAGAGAGAGAGAGAGAGGCGGAAGCAGTGAAATAAAATCTGCTCTGGCATGTAAATAGAACAGATACATTCCTAGGGCAGCCAAATATTATGAACAGTAAATTTAGTAACAGTTTACTGTGTGAGAGATTTTGAGGCTACAAGGGCCATACAGTTTCTAATTTAATAGATGAATCGATTTCAAGACCAGAAGGGACCATAGTGATCCTGCGTAACACAGGCCAGAAGTAATTTCTAGTAACCTAGCAATTTCTGCATCAAAACCACAGCTTCGTTGAGCTGCTAGACCAGGGGTGGCCAACCTGTGGCTTCAGAGTCACATGCGACTCTTCAGACGTTAATATGCGGCTCCTTGTCTAGGCACCAACTCCGGGGCTGGAGCTACAGGCGCCAACTTTCCAATGTACCAGGGGGTGCTCACTGCTCAACCCCTGGCTCTGCCACAGGCCCTGCCTCCACTCTACCCCTTTCTCCCCTCAGTGACCTCACTCCTCCCCGCTCCCCCCCAGAGCCTCTTGCATGGCACGAAATAGCTGATCCAGAGGTGGGGGAGGGAGAGGGAGGCACTGATCGTTGGGGCTGCCGGTGGGTGGGGGGCGCTGGGAGCGGTGGGGGGGATAGACACTGATGGGGGGCTGCTGACATATTACTGGTTTCAGAGTAGCAGCCGTGTTAGTCTGTATCCGCAAAAAGAAGAACAGGAGTACTTGTGGCACCTTAGAGACTAACAAATTTATTAGAGCATA